GGGGGGGGGGGGGGGGGGGGGGGGGGGGGGGGGGGGGGGGACAGAAACAATGAATTGTAAATCTCTTTAGCTCAGTATTATGGATATCGCAACCCTATAGCCTTGATTCCATGATATATACCATCAATCTGGGAAGTATGTGGCTTTTCTGCCTACCCCCCAAGGAGTCCCTCCCCACCCCATCGCAGCGCAGCTGGTTTAACCAACTTAGCTAGCACGCATTACTTTCTGAATGTCATTACTATCTGAATGTCTTTTCTGAGTGATATTCAATCCCACCAAGACATCCACCAAGCGATAAATACCCGGTGACACAAAGTGCTATCATGTGCATGAGTATCACCCTGGAGAGATCCCATGAACCCTGTTCAACCATTAGGTTATATTAGGGCCCCAACTACAGCCGGAGTGGGGCCTTAACATAATGAAAAATTGCGTCCCATATTGAGACGACGGATCTAGTTACCTGTATCTTTAACAGGCTTGTCCCAACTAAACTACATACCTAATCCTAGACATGCCTGTCTTTCGTAGGCCTGTCCAGGATTATGTAAACAATTTAGTTGGTAACTGTTTCTTTCAAGGATTTTAGTAATTCACTGTCAACAGACTTCAACTCAATCTTAATAAGGACAGTTTTGACTCTGACATCTATGTAAATGTAACCATCGTCCTCTCACATCTCTATTTCAGTCTGATTCATAATAACAATACAGTCTAAAGATTATAAATAAAACATTGTCTCCAGACACAATGGCAAATCTATTCAAAGGGACATAACAGTAAAATGTACTTTCATTCCACTAAAATTATCTCCCATGCCTAAAACCTGAAAATGAAAGATCATAATTATTAACTATAAAATGTCCTCAATTTATAAAGACGCAAACACTTAAGTGTGGAATGGTGTAATAATTAACACTGCACTTCTTAAAGAAATCAGTTGCTGACGCATAAAATCTTATCAGAAAATAATGTAAGAGTAAAGTGTTCTTTCATATTACTGAATTTAACCTCAACCTGCCATGCTGATTCACACTGGACTGCAGGTTACTCTGTAAAAATAAGGTGTTCAAATTAATTACCATATAATCCAGTTTCGTCCTTTTCAGGACGAAATTTTTTGTCATTTGAAGCCCTACTCTGGCTTTTGCCAGGGGCCGCAATATAGGCAGGCCATAAATATGGCCAAATGTCTGAACGCGGTTTCTGGGACCTCTCCACGGCGATCCTCATCCGCATGGTGGCACTTTGTGTCATCGGGTGTTTATCGCTTGTGTGATGTCCTGGTGGGGTAAAAAGTCAGTCAAATAAGGTGTTATTATCAATCCAGTTTCTTCCTTTTGATATGAAATTTTTTTGTTATTTGAAGCCCCACTCTGGCTTTTGCCAGGGGCCGCAATATAGGCAGGCCATAAATATGGCCAATTGTCTTAATGCGATCCTCATCCACATGGTGGCACTTTGTGTCATCGGGTGTTTATTGCTTGTGTGATATCCTGGTGGGGTAGAATGTCAGTCAGTCAGTCAAATAAGGTGTCAAAATAGAACCTCCCGTCCTTTTCAGGATGACATTTTTCGTTCTTTGAAACCCTACTCTGGCTCTTGCCAGGGGCCACAATATAGCCTGGCCATAAATGTGGCCTGGAGGCTGAACGCAGTTTTTGGGACCTCTCCACGGTGATCCTCACCCACATGGTGGCACATTGTGTCATCGGGTGTTTATCGCTTGTGTGATGTCCTTGTGGGGTGGACAGTCAGTCAGTCAAAAAAGGTGTCTCTCCAGGGAGGGAAGCAACAGATCCATTGCCCCCCCCCCCCCCCCCCCCCCCCCCCCCCCCCCCACCCCCCCCCCCAGCCCCCCCCCCCCCCCCCCCCAACAAGCATGTAGTACAAGGAAAATAAAAGGAGTTTCTCTCGAAGTGCTTTTTAATTGCATTTTATGTTAAATCTGCCTGATAAGCCAGGGACAAATTGTCTCCATAAAAATAAGCCAGTTCTGTTAAATGCATGTGCATGCAAAACTCAAATTTTGGAACAAAACTAAAATTCAATTAGGACGTACTACCAGAACTTTATGCCAGAGTTTACAGCCAGTGAAGGCTAAAAAGATCTTCTTAAAGTCCATGCCCTGTGGCGTTGGTAATCATGTCTAATGACAACCTTTTGCCTCACACCCTTTAAGTCAGATCTGATACGAATGATCCTCCATACTATAGGTCACAATTTCTTGTCATTCCTCTATGGGATGCAATTTTTCATTATTTGAAGCCCCACCCTGGCTCTTGCCAGGAGCCGCAATACAGCCCGGCCATAAATATGGTCTAATGGCTGAACGCGGTTTTTGGGACCTCTCCATGGGTGATCCTCATCCACATGGTGGCACTTTGTGTCATCGGGTGTTTATCGCTTGTGTGATGTCGTAGTAGGGTATAAATCTACCAATACTACTACTCTTCCATGCTATGATTTCAAACTGTCCATTATCTTCTCTCTCGGCCTACCTCTGTCTTTCTTCCACTTCAAGATTCCCACTGTTATGATGTACTATAGTTTTCTTCTACTCATAATATGACCAAAGAATGTAGATTGTCTCTTTCTGATGTGGGTAATCAGTTCTCTTCATGAGCTATTTTTCTTTCAAAACATCTTTCATCTCATCATTTGTCTATAAGACCACATCTCTACAGCTTCCAAATAATTGATTTGATTTGATTTGAGAACTGACATCACAGCACTCGGGGCATTCCCATAAGTGCTCCGTCCCCATCTTCAGCAGCCAGCGAAGAGTTCCGATACTAATGGTGCCAGTAGCATTCTGATTAAACGTTCGTCTTGCCTTTTCTCTGAGCCTCGAGCATCTGCCAGAACCTCTTGTCACTCCCCCCTGCATCAATCTCACCAGACTGTGGTGATCCATCTGCTCCTCAGAACTGTACACGCTCTCCCACAAGACACTAACCACATCTGCTTTATTATGTATCAGTATTCCACCAAATTGTGCAGAGCCAGCCAGTCTGTCTGCCGGTTCCTTTCCAAACACACCGGCGCTCCCCGGTGAAAAAATCCAGCCAATACTCCTCACCCGTGTTCTCTAACTTCTAAGACTTCTCTTTTTTGCCTCAACTGACAGATTGCATATAAATAGTCTTCCTTTTCTAAAATAATGCCTTTGCTTGAGCGATCCGACATTTAACTTCTTCAATTCATTTTCCATCTAATGTTTTCAGGATACCCAAATACTGAAACATCAACTTGTTTGAGGATAGTCCTAGGACAGATAAAGACAGGGGAGGGGGGGGGGGGGGGGAGGTTGTGGTGGGGGGTGGTGGAAGGGAACTGACAGAGATATTAATTTATGACTGAGGTGTACATTACAGGTGTTCATGAAAGAACATGAATCAAGGTTTGGGAGTTTAGACCTGCTAACGCCTTGAGGAATAATAAGGCCCATGGATGGATGACAATTTTAAAGCCCTCCAGCAGGTTGTGACAGGGTATGATAATGCAAGCCATCTCTGGGGCAAACTACTTGTTCCGTTTTGTGGTTACATTAAGAGCCAATGCATACTCTCTGGCAATGTTCAGGCTGCTGTGTGCAAACAGACATTCAGTCATAAGAGCTGCATGCGAGCCAATCCTTGTGAGGCAGTTAGCAGCTCTGTGACAAAACAAAACAAAAACAAACAAACAAATCTGATCTAAGAAATGTAGCAGGTAAAAATGTCTAAAAACCACAGCCAAAAACACAGAAACAACGGTAATCTACCTTTGTTGTTTTTAACTCTTCCAGCCCAACCAATGTGGACTGTGTTGTATGCTCTAGCCTTTGAACACTAAACAACACATAATGTGTTCTCTCTTACTTTTGACATTTAGTATGAACATGCTGTTTTGGCCACATTAAAAGACATAACAGTATTGTAAAGATCATCCTAGAGGGAAAGGTTCAAGGTAGGCGAGCAAAAGGCAGACAGCGTTACAAGTGGGAGGATAACATCAAGAGATGGACGAACAGCAGTATGGGTGAGTGTACATCAAGGGCAAGAGACAGGGCTTGTTGGAGATCCATTGCAGCCAACCTTCATTGTGGAGACGGCACCTGATTGATTGATTGATGAACATACCAAATAAAGGCAGCCATGTTCCTAAAATGGCCAGCAATGACTAAAAGGAAATGCCATGGAAAGTAAAGGGACCACATCACCCACTGAAGCTAGCACAATCGTTCCAATTCATCTCAAGGTATGCAAATGGTTTCTTTACTTTCTTTACTTACGCTAATCAAACACTGCAGCGTTTCCCAATTAGATAAGACTTGTGAACATAGCTTATTTTTTCAGGTATGTCAAGGACCTCACACTGTTTAAAAATCTTACTGAAACTTAGTATAATTGTAAAATGTTATAACACACAAAATTGTCCTTTGTAATAATGAGGTTTTGTGTGTGTGTGTGTGTGTGCACGCGTGTACGTAAATCTTATTCTTCGTGTTCACCAGCTGTAAACTCTGGCGTAAAGTTCTGGTTGTTCGCCCACTTCTGCACTGTAGTTCTGCTGTTCCAGAACTTGAGTCCTGTGTGGGCTTCCATTTGAAAAATCTCACTCATCTGCATGCAGACTGTTGGTTTCTAGCCTCTCAGGCAGACTTCAAAGGAAGCTCACAATTAGTCAACCCTCATTACATGCTTTTGTATAGGCAATGGGTCTATTCTTGTTTCCCCCATAAAGGGCCCTGGAATCCACACAGAAATTTTTTTTTTAACGATACCATGGACTCTTTAAATTTGTTCAGTTGACAATAGGTGCAGTCCTCAGTCCAGTGAATGTCAAACACTGGAATTTGGCATTTCCAATGCCCATTTCCACTGTGTAGCAATTATCTTTGAAAATGATGCCTTCATCATTGTTCACAGTAAATTTGTCCCATGAGCAACCTCCTGGGACTGAAAGAGTTACAGAAGGAAATATTGTTCTTCAACACAAGTCTGAAAGGAACTTCACTGTCCCAGGATCTGATCAGTGGGTGACCCAAGGTCACTAACTGTAACAAGAGGTGGGTTTGAAAGATCAGGGAGATAGTCTCCCCTCTCTGGATACTTTTCCTGGGTTGTGGCCATGGTCACTTCTGTTTCATCACTGTCTTCATCATCATCATCATCACCGTCTTCATCACTATCAGAAGCTTGGGTGTAGATGCTACTGCAGGCTGTAAAGAGGTGTAAAACAAAGTATCATTAGCAGTCAAACCACATCAAGCTGTTTAAATATATGATACTGAAACATAGTGCAATTTACATGTCATTTCCAATTATGAAAATAGCCTTGGAAGCATAACTACTAGATGTTCGCCTGCTGACCTGAAAGTCTAGGGTTCAAATCCACATCAAGGCAAGTTTTTTTCCCAAAACTATCCTTGGTTACCAGGTCAACCCAGCCTAAAGCAAGATGAATGTATAATCAAACTGCTACTGGCACCATCAGAAATGGAACTCTTCACTGGCTGCTGAAGATGAGGACGTGCGCTTATGGGAATGTCTCAAATGCTGTGATGTCAGTGCTTAGTTCAACATTTCACCCAGCCTAAAACAGGTATCAGATAATATTCTAGGCAGTAAAGGTAGCCGGCGGAATACTGACCACATCACTCATCGAGTGTTGACTGGTCTACAAGAGTACAGGTCTAGCCCTATATGCCCAGTGTGCCAAAGGCATGAAAACTATCCTTTACTCACTTACTTTCATCTGTGAATGATTTCATGCCCTTAAGCAAAGATGATCCGCAGTATATTTTATAATTAAGAGAAACATGTATGCTCCTGTTATCAATAGAGACAACAACAATAATAATGAACTGACCCGCAACATTGTTTTGCCCACTGGCATGTGTAGTTAAGCTTCTACATATCTTCCAAGTTTCAACAACCCATATCAGTTCATTTGCTAACACCCTTCCTTGCCAGGAGAAAGGCTGTGATCAATTCTCTTTCAAGTTGTTGTTTTTTTTTCTTTATTCTTTCTTTCCTTAAATCTTCCCAGTTGTTCATAACACGATCCAGCTTTTTTCTCTTCCCACAAAAAGGCGTCACTGTCTGTGGTGTAGGCACAGCGAACTCGTTTCTTAATTCCGGGGTACCTGGTTCAATCCTAACTGCAGGAAATTTGCAGCAGACTGTCTTGCATTGGTTTCGACAGTGGTATTTAGAACCGGCCATTTAGAAGGCAATGGAAAACTACAATCTAAAAAAACCGCTAGAGCCAAAAAATTCTGGGGCTGGTTCTACAACGTCCTGAAAAAGACATGCAGCTAACATCTTTTGATAATAAGGTTTAAAACACATTATAACTACTTTTTTTCTGGTGTTTGTGACAAGCTATGAGTCACACTCATTCAAAACTTCTAGATTACTTTTGATGGTTCAAGCAAATAGCTTTTAAACAGAAATAGTAGAGATGATCTCACAGAAAAGTAACCAATAAAAGAAATAACAGATCTTTTTCATTTCCTTAGTTTAGTGTTTTTGCTGTTTTTATAGAGTCAACAGTAAAGAATCCTTTGGGGCATCAGGGTTATGGAGCAAGACCTTGTTTTTACAGACCAACTGGTACTAAAGGGGTGATGTAGTCAACATTACAGCTGCCACCTTTACTTCCCAGAACAGTACTTGTACCTGTTTTAGCCTGAGTTGACCTGGAAGCCAAATTTAATTTTGAAAACAAATGCACCTGGATGCAGAAATAAACTCAGACTTGAGAGCTGGCAGGAGAGCAGCCAGTCACTCTCACTATTCCTGTTTTGTTTGTTAATAAATATTAAGGTTGAAATGTACACTTGTTATCACTGGTAGCATGAAGGTGCCCAAGAAGAAAACTGACTGATGACATTACAGACATTCTACATCCAGACAAAATGACTGAAGCCAGTGCAACCCACTAAGTGTTAGGCCATAAAATATTTCTCTCCAAGACACTAAACGGAAAAGGTTGAGGCTGATGATGATGTGTGCCTCACCTTTCATTTTATATTCATTCATTCTTTCAGCTTCATATCAGCCTGACAGTAGTCACCACCCATTTTCAGTACTATCTGATGTACTTCAGTTCACCAGGAGGAGCAGACGGATCACCACAGTCTGGTGAGACTGATGCAGCGGGGAGTGATGAGAGGTTCTGACCTCTGAGAGGCTCAGAGGAAAGGCAAGACAGACTTTTAATCGGAATGCTACTGGCACCATTAGTATCGAAACTCTTCACTGGCTGCTGAAGATGGGGACAGAGCGCTTATGGGAATGCCCCAAATGATGTGATGTCCGTTCGTAAATCAAATCAAATTCACCAGCTATGATTCTGGTATGAGTATTTATGCACTGCCTTCATGAAAATCAAACACAGTTATTATATTTTTTTTAAAAGAATGTCTAATGCCCATAAAAACTGGGCACAAGATGATTTGGGTAATTATGACTGACCATTATTTACCGTAAACACAGAAGCTTCTTTACTGAAACTACAGTCATGTGTTGGTTAACAGCATTTATGTATTGTGTTAAATAAGTAACAATGCAGTTATTTACACTACAATTCTTTCAAATCAGTTTCCCTTTTTTTTAATGCACTTATACACTTTTGCCTATGTTTATACAGTTGTTGGAAACATTCCTAGAACCCACTTTCTGACACCTTTTTCAGCTGCTTTGTCACACTGGTGAAACGTCTTCAGCATTCTTGAATTGCTGCACTTAAGGGAACAAGAAAAACATCAGTGGTACCAGGTTGGAGAAATACTGTGGCAATTTCCACTGATATTCCAACTTCTGAAGCTAATTTTGTTGACACCAAGTCTTCTCTCAGCACAAACAACATTCCAAACATGCTAAATGTTTAATTGTTTATCACAGTAGGTGGCTGCCTACTATGTTTATTATCAGAAACAATAAGAAGATCTTCACAGAGACACTTGTGTCACTCAAAAACTTGTAATTTCCTCACTGCGGCATCAGCAAATGTTTTATTAAGCAAGGCTACTGACGGTGACTTCTCAAGCAAAACAAAATCTGACATTTATGCATTGCTCAATCCAAGGACATTTTCAACTCTGACGATGCAACACTTCTGTTCGAGAATAAATGTGAAAGTTATGTCATTTTGTCAAGGTCACTATCAACTTATAAAACTACAATTTTCATGTCATAATTACTAATTCAAATAGGAGTCAGCTATTCTAGAAACTTTCTGAAGCAACCTAGTATAGAGAGGTTTCACAAACCTGCAAATGCTTCTGGGTAATTTTTCTCCAGTCTCTGCTTCAAGACCCTGGTGAGAATATAAAACACAACTTAGTAAAAATTATGTGAAACTTAAAAGACATAAACTGGTATACTTTAACCCCCCCCCCCCCCCCCACCCCCAAATCACAAAACAGATGAAACTGATACTCTCACATAAGTAAACCAATCAAATACAAAGCTTCTGCTTCTAAAGATATTAGAAATGAAAAAAGAATCAGTTAAAGGAACAAAAAAGAGATTACTGAAATATATTAGCCGCATTAAAAGACAACTCTCATTTGAAAACCATACTGAAGGCAAAAAGAACATGAGTTAGACAATCCAAGTGGAAGGACAATATCAAGCAGTCTGAGAGAGTTATCTGATTATTATTCATAGAAAGACAAGAGAATCATAACTAATTTCCCCTGTGTAAGTTCTGGGGCTCCATTCTGAAGTAAGCAAGAATAGATCCAACACCCCCACAAGTCGAAGTGCAAATGTCTGAGAGGCAAGAAAACAACTGTATAAATACAAATAAGCCAGATCTGTCAAACGGATGTGCAAAGAAAACTCAAGTTGCGGAACAAAAGCAAAGTCTAGAAGTGAATGAGCAACCAGAACATTCTGCTGGAGTTTATAGTCAGTGAACACAAAATTAAAGATAATTCTGTTGTCACATTATAAGATCCTCGTGCAGAGATAATCTCAGCAACTTGGAAGATCAAAAGTTTCAGAGGCAGAGGAAGGAAACAATGAATGTTAGTTAGTGAGTCAATAGATCATCCTTACTGCACATCAAACCAATCAATTGAAATGTGCTTGGACTTCTTCCTCTGTAAATCTTTCATTGTGTAGCACTGACGCGATTTATTCTTTTTCTTTGGCTTCCTTCTTCTTCTTCACTTCCTCTTTCACCGCTTCAAGTGTAAAGGGAGCTTCCTCCATAGCGCAATTGTCTGGCCTTACCCTTTTCACTTGCTTATCTTGCTGTTTGGTCATGGTTGCAGATTCGGTTACCACCTGACTCTTATAAACATCTTGCTTCTCATACAGCATTCAGAGTATCAGCCTGGTCCAATGCTCATCTACCATCCACATCAACTGTTCTGCAAGCCTATCGGTGGGTTAATTTACTTTTGACAGATGATGGAGGGTTTCACAGAATAGTGTCGAAGATGATCAGCAGCAAAACTTATCAAGAACACAGAAGATAAATGCTTGTTGAGAAACATAGTCAACTGTCCTGCTTAGCATGAAACAAAATTATTGTTTTTGTCTATTAGCCTTTAAAAAAAAAAGGAGGTGTAAAGTAAATAAATGTTATGCCACCAAGACATCACACAAACCGATAAATACCCGGTGACACAAAGTGCCACCAAGCAGATGAAGATCACCCGTGCAGAGGTCCCAGAAACCATGTTTAACCATTAGGTTATATTAGGGCCCCCACCAACAGCCAGGGTGGGGCTTCAAAATAACGAAAAGGGGAAAAAAGGGGGAAAGGGGGGGGGGGGGGTGGGTGTTGGGATCAATAATAAACTATATTTGCTGAAATATATAAATACTGAGTAATGTGTGCATACTGTCAGGAAATTATCCTTTCCTAAATAGGTTAGGTGACATGATACAGAATAAGTAAGAATTACGTGGGTCTGAAAAGAGTACTAAAAGTGTGCAAATATTATAAACTATCCATCTGAACTAATGCTTTCAGTTTACTTCTGTTATTTCCCTTTATTGTTTAGATTTGTGACACAGTATTGCAAGTCAATTGATGTTTTCAGTGTTCTGCATTTAATAGCATTTTTCTCTTTTTTTTTTTTTTAATGCCTACATCCTTTTACAACATTGTGTCATTTAAAAAAAATTTTTTTTTTTTTCACTGACAAAAATAGCATTTTGTTGGTTAGTTTAATGTCAGTGGCTACAAACATATTAGAGTACCACTCTTACAACTTACAGAATACGCATTTGTTGTGTTAATACACCTACAATGGTAGTGTTAGTTCTCTAAATTTCTAAAACAGTGTCTCAACTTAGATTTCAGGATATGTTTTGAAACTCAATTTTAAAAAAACTGGTTATTGAAAAAGCTGCAAAGAACAGGAGTATCAAAGCTGGGATTGGATGAACATGCAAAATCACATGTTTCACATATTCCCATAAACAAGGTCTTTATACAGAATGAGTTTCATGGCATGATATACATTAACCTGTCTGGAGATTGAAATAACTATTTTTGTTTATAGAACTTCACTATGAATCCTGCTGTTGGATTGCCCTTGAACATTAACATGCTTATTTCTTCTTTATTTTCCACATCAAAATAAGATACCTGGCTCTTATTTCATAAACATTCTACTATGGGTAGCTTTCTAATGACTGGAATTTTGTAAAAACTTATCAATTACAGCATTTATGAATTATTTCTGAATAATTTCCTACTTCAGATTTTTAATATGTCTAGCAAGGATATTTTACCATAACTTGTGAAAAGTTTTCAAGTTATATCTCTCCTCTTGTATACATATAAAACATTCAAGAAAAGTAAACAATTAGAAACTTCGGACAGAGAAGCTACATGTGGATATCCAGATCATTTTGACATGCTATAAGAAGAAAATCACGAACTTGACAACTTGGTGATAATAGACAAACTTGGTGGAAAAAGAGCAAAAGAAGAAACTTGGCTCTCTCACATAATCCCCAATTACAGACCAGGTTTGTGTTTTTGTCTTGCCAAAGTCATAGGCTCAAGCAGAGAAGGTTTTTAAAATGTAAACAATAAATATATACAGAATGACAATAATTCAAAAAATATATGTTTTTCTTTTAAATATAATAAAATTACCTGATACGTTTAAAGACAGTATCCAAATCCTTTTTCATATCAAAAAGTAACTGTGTATGTTTTTGAAAATCTTTTACGGTAACCTCAAATCGATTAGCAGATAAAATATTAAAGTTGATAAGCATCTCATTCGTCTTCTCAAAGCGTGACAACCTGGCAACAATAATACAAACAGTTATTACAAAGGTCTTCTGTGTTTTTCTGTTTAAAGTTTAAAACATGATGACAATATTAATTAGCAATGTGCTATAGACAATGATGTCCCCTAAAGAACTCCTTAAGATTACACAATTTCTGAAACAGTATGAGGCACATACACAAAGAAGGTTAAATGTTTATATTTACAAATATGATTATATGTGTAATCTATCTGCCGTGTGTGAGTGAGTGCATTAACCTAGAGCAACATATATCATCTGGATTGTAGAGAGCTTGTAGCTGTACCATTTGGTGTCTTAAAGTAGAGTCTACCCATTTAAAATCCCGGGCCTTTCTAGGAATATCCAGCCATTAAGTCTTGCTCTGCCACAGATTTTGCAAAACTCTAGACATCATAGTATCTTTCTGCTGGATTATTTATCCCCAAGCCATTAATACATAAATGTGCAACAGTATCTGTTGTTCACTTTATTCTCCTGGCTAAACCTCTTGACCTATCTCCCCAGTTCATTTCCTGTCCAAAGAATATCAGTGATGGCTTAGCAAGGGCAGGTATTGGCAGCCTCTGTTTTCTGAAAGACAAGACACTTGACTCAACCCAGAAAGCTAAGTTATTATGTGCAGTATTTTGTGTAGTAGTCTCACTCTGTGGTTTTGTATGCTGATGTTGCAAAAAATGGTACAAAGGAGAAACAACACAAATATTCATTGTCATTACCAGAAATCAAAACACTAATCAAGAAAAAATACAAGGAATTGTGGAGAGAACAAACCAACAGCAAACACCCACAAGACTTCATCAGCAGACTTAACAGAAAGCAACATACAACAATTTTCCATCTACAAACAGGACACTGCAGCTCAACTACCACATGCATAAAATAAAGACTGTACAGTCCCCACAGTGTGTCTGTCAGACAGGACCACAAACATGTAAGCATATTCTGCTCAAGAGCTAAGCGTGCAGATCAAGCTATAGGAAGCCATGAAGGACCTGCAGCTGACATGCGAGTTCACAGAGGCAGCCCATCTCACAGTTTGACCTAAGCAAATGAAACTGAACGCAAAGAAGAAGTATGCTAATGAAGGTTGCTAGACACAATGTTATTTTTTTATATCTGTGGCTGTGTGTTAATGATAAGTTGGGTTGACTTTTGCTATTGTAAACATACTCACATATCTCTTTGAATATACACCATAGAAGCTACATCCTCTCTGTTCACCTGCTCCATTAGAGAAGCAGCAAATGTTGTGGCATCATCCCTTGTATCGTTCTTTAAAGCTGAGCTGTCAACAGCTTCTGATGTGGCCATTTTAAAACCTGGTTTTAAAAATGTGAATCACTAACACCTGAGGCAAACTGCAACTTCTATGTTCACTAAATAAATTAATAAAACAGTTGAATTTCAACATACTTGCAATGAATGGCTCAAAAATTCAGAATTCAATCAACCACTAACACAGCACTTAGCTTACACATTAACTCTTTACAGACTGAGGAGTGAAGATTGGCCAAGCAGGTCTCTCCATGTCTAAGGTCAAGATAGGAAACATGATAACCAACTCAGAGGCACCAGGATCTGGGAGGCACAGGTCCCTAATACTCACCCCCCCCCAAATAAATATTTTTTATTGTTGCTAAGAGGCCTTTATAACCATTTAGAGGAACTCTGTCTAAAATTTATTTGATTATAAATTTCATATTTCAAGTATATTTTTTTTTCCATCCAGCACAATAATAATATTACTGTACCGAAGGACAATCAAATTTAATAATAAACTTGGAAAATGGGTGCTAGAACCTGGGATCTCAGGCGAACTGAGATCCTCTCCCCCCCCCCCCCCTAAAAAAAATTATTAATATATATAAAGGGGAGGGGGTCTCAGCCCTCAATCTATAATTTTTAGAGAGCAGGACACTACCCCCTCCCCCATATAGATATTTCTATTTTTTAAGTATGTATTATACATTTCATATTATTTCAAATTCACAATTATATATTAGCCATTCAGCACATTATAATAATCATAATTATTATGTGCAATTAAAAAAAGATTCAGCACCTTGATGATCCCCAATAATATTCTAGGGGCGAGGGCCTCAAAAAAGGTATCTACCTAGTTTAAATGCGGAAAAAAAAAAAATAAAACAGTTGGTGATTTTTTTTTCTGATAGGGACCAAAATAAAATCCTAACCTGCAGTTGGTGGTAACACCACTAGCCTTGCAATCCTAAATCCTCATCCTTAAAGACCACCCTGCCTACACAGCAAAAGTGGTAAATACAAACAGCAGTAGCAGTTTTCTTCTGAGCCTGACAAACCAAACATAATTTCTTCTTAGGCCCACCGTAGATTAATGAGATTTGTGGAAGCGACCATGATAAACCGGTTTAGTCCAGAATTATGCAGACAAAAGAACATGCTCTTCATCTTGCATTTACCCTGGTGAAACAGTTTTTTTTATGTAATCGATTTTGTGTTTCAGTTTGAAGGATTCATTTATTTACTTCATTTTAATCAATTGTAACTGTAATATGCACCTGACGAGATACAGTGAAATATGCCAGGCAATAAATTGTGCAATCTTGTTTTTCTTCTTTTTGTTTTAATTATAAAATCTGTTATTCAAGAAATAATGTGATTGTTTCTCTTTGAATTATCTACATGGATAGTTTGCCACCTTTTCATTTGACACTCAGCTAATGATGTTAACCACCGAGTACCAACGAGCCTACAACATTAAGATAGTCCTATATGTAACCAATGCTTTTTCTAGGGGGGGGGGGGGGGGGGAGTACTGATACTAGCCATAGTGTGTCTTTAAAAGGTGTAAGTACTCACTCAAAAGCATCCTTTTGTGGGTTCTAGAGCCCCATTTTAGGGAAAAAGAATAGACCTACTGCCTCCCTAACAAAATTTTCTATTAAAGTCGACTAATTAAGGGTGTTTCCTAAAAAGTCAGAGGGCCTTAGAGGCAAGGAATCAACATTCTGCATACAGATAAGCAAGACCTGTCAAATGCATGTACATGCAAAACTCAAGTTCTGGAACAAGACTAAAGTCCAGAAGTGGACTACAACCAGAACATTTATCTGGAATTTATAACCAGTGAACACAAAGAAGAAGAACACACCAAAGCATCTATCCCAGTACTGATGACACAATGATGCCTCAAAAATAAACAGGTACAGGTACTGCATACTGTTGTGTACCACGAGAATAAAAGACCTGTATATAAATCACTTGAAGGTGCAATGAAATCAGCATGTATGTGGGCTGAGTTTATATACTGTGACATTATTAAACTTAACCAGAAGTTAGATGTATAAATGAGTCCATGCTGCAAAAGACAAACTATACATATACTTACTGCCAAATCTATAACAACAATGTCGTTATTATAGTCTGTAGTTGCTTGGTGTGTTATTAATTTTGAAAATTCAACACTTGCTTGCTCTTGTTCTGTAACTTCATCACAAGCTAACCACATCACAAAACTGGCGTGTTCATCCTTAAGAGAAGATTAAGTGAAAAATGGTTACTAACATTATTAGCTGTAGACAAGAAAATTGCACTGCCACATGGTAGAGGATGGTAAACACATTGCAGTGTGTGGCCAACACAGCAATGAGGACCGAGTATCCACCAGGATAAGTGGACACATCTGAGGTGCCCTCTGCTATCAGCAGGAGCATCATTGAGCAGGGCATCAACCTGCCCTAGCAATCTAAAAAGTTGCTGATGGCTGAGGACATAGATACAGTTTAAAGCCATATCGATGTGGAAAGCAAGGGAAAACTACCACATTATTATCCCAAAAATCTCATTATGGAAGATAAAAACAAAACTTAAAGATCTGATGGTGAGACCCCCAGGCCAGGCAGATCACAGACACAAACTGGGGAAGAGAACGGTGACACAGCAAACAAGGGTAGTTGTGATGACAGCCTTAAGCCCGACGGTGCTACAACAGAAAAATCTTATCAATGGGCTAAAGAAAAACATATGAAATTGACAATAAAGAACCAGAACCTATACTGGGTGAGGTACGATCAGCAATGCACAGACTGAAGAAAGGAAAGTCACCAGGCTGCAACGAAATACCAGCAAAACTAATTCAGGCAGCATACAAATCTACCGTGTACTGTGCACAAAGATCTGTAACAGCACCACGTGGCCTAGAACCTGGAAAAGAACAATCGATATCCCTCTCCCAAAGAAAGGAGATCTGAAACTGCTCCAACTACCATATCATCACATCAATAAGTCAAGCTAGCCTAGTATCTAATGTATTATAATAAAGAGGACTGAAGGGGAAAATACAATATGAGCTACAAGAAGCACTAGTGCAAAAGGAACTGGGGATCACATCTTTATAATGACAATAATTTTTGAAAAATGTAGTAAAATACAACATAGATCTTCACGCCTGTTTAACTGATTATAGCAAAGTACTTGACTGTCCAACATCAGAAATTGTGGGGAGTATTATGAGAAGTATGGGGTTTTCAACGCATATGGTGCATTTAATTGAAAATTTATATCATGATTAACAAGCAGCCATCAGAGCAGCTGATAAAATATTAGACTAGTTCGAGGTGCAAACAGAAAATCCAATACATATGCAGAAAACATAATGAAAATGTCAGAAATGACCAGACTTATGACAGTTATGAAAAACTCATAACTGGTGGCTACCCTATTCTGAAACTGCTATACAGAGACAGAAATCAAAAGAAGGATGGGCATAGCAATACAAAGATACAGCATTAAAAATCTATGGTTAAGCACCAGCAAGGAAATCAAAATTAAAATTCTGAAAGCATACTACAGAAAGATTATCAGAATATCATGGAAAAAGAAAAGAATAAATACTGACATTTGAAAAGATCTGAACATCAAGGAAGATTGGCTAATAAACAGCATCTTGTCTCGGAGGCTGAAATATTTTGGTCATATCAATCGCCATCGTGGACTGAAAGAAATAATAGCAGAAGGCATGGTACCAGGAAGGATCAACATGAAGATGGGCACATAATTTAAGTGACTCCTTGAATATGAAAATACACGAGGTGGGTAACTGGCGAGAGACCAAGTTTCTTTCATGATAAAAGTGGGCAGGAACAGCGCAGGATTCCAAGCCTCGAAGGGATGGTAGCTCTGCCCATCGGCAGACCAGGATTACTTCGAAAAGACACCTGGCCTCAAGAGCAAAGTGTGCAGAACCATGGGGAATCATTAAGGACCTGCTACTGACATGTGAGTTCATAGAGGCAACCCACCTGATGGTCTGATCTGAGCATACAAACCGAACGCAAAGAAGGAGAAGAATCATAATCTATATTACTCATCAACAAACTGTCATAGAGGTAGGTCTTTATTTTGTGTTTTACTGTGAGAATGTGTAAACAGACATGTGATGTCAGAATGTGCCCGGTGATTTTTCTGGAGACACTTTAGTTAGGTGATTTTTAAAATTCTTTTACCTTTCGTAGTTCTGTATATTCATGCAATGTGCTGATCATGGCTCTCTAGCTGCAACGTTCATATACTCTTTTGTGATCATCATAATATTCATATAATGTGAAGCAGCAGTCTAATTACTGGCAGTGGAGTAGTTTACTAGACAGATATCTAGTCTTTTCGTCTGGCTGGGGTGATATATTTTCATGTGATACTACACTAATGTCAGAGTGGTATTTTGTTTTGCTAATTTGTTGTTTATATAATTTAAAACTTAGCACGTACATGTATTTTCTAACGATGACATGTGAAAGAGAATCATCAAACAAACACCATCCCTCGGTTCCAGTTACCAACGACAAACAAGAAGCAGTTGTCAGCAGGGCTGCCAATAGGATTTTCATCAAAACCCAAGCTTAGCTGACCAAAAAACCCAAGCAATACAAAAGCAAAACAAACAAAAAAACCAGAATAAATAAAAGGGCAAATTTTAAAGTTAAAAACGAAATTTTTTATAAAAAAATATATTGAAAAAAAAAAGATTTTAAAATATCAACCCAAGGTGTCAAATAAAACCCCAACTCATGGGGGAAACCCCAAGTATTAGCAGCCCTGTCGTCAGTATTTTTAATCAGCTGACGACAAATGCCAGATTTTTATGTGTTCAATGGCCATTTAGTAGCAGTAGATGGCACAGTACAACTTTACAACTAAATAAGAAACATAAATATGCTCAGTATTATACTTCATAAAAAATTTGTAATCTATTAGATGGTAAAATTACACAATGTATGAAAGCCTTACCGGAAGGATTTCCTGAGAAAACATAATCGCTAGTTAATTCCGAC